ATTCTGTCTTTACTCATTTAATATTTGTTTTCCTTGGTCTTTAAATATTAGCATCATTGTTGATACAAGATTGTTGATCTCATTATGTCACATATGCTGCCTGTTCCAATCAGCATATTTATTATAATTTAAAAATGCTCTTTTGTGTATTTCTTGCTTTTAAGTCCTTGCTCACTCTGTTTATCCAACCATTTGTCCATCTATCCTATCAGGCCCTTATCCTATCTTAGTTCATTTCGATTCCAGTATTAACATTATCACTAGGCTCTGTTCTCATAATACAAGTTAGAATTCAGACTATATATGAGCTACATTAGCAGTCCCCAACCTTTTGGCACCATGGACTGGTTTCATGGAAGACAGTTTTTCCGCAGACCAGGAGTGGGTTGCAGGGGGATGATTTCTAGATGATTCAAGCGTATTATATTTATTGTGCAGTCAAACATCTCTGCTAATGACAATCTGTATTTGCAGCTACTCCCAGTGCTAGCCTAGTATCACCACCTCAGCTCCACCTTAGATCATCAGGCATTAGATTCTCATAATGAGCATGCAACCTAGATCTCTCACGTGAGCAATTTACAGTAGGGTTGGTGTTCCTATGAGAATCTAATGCCACAGCTGATCTGACAGGAGGTGGAGCTTATGCAGTGACGCGAGGATGGGGAGCGGCTATAAATATAGATGAAGCTTCACTCACTGGCCCACCACTCGCCTCCTGCTGTGCAGCCCAGTTCCCGGGGGTTGGGCACCTCACAGCTACATGATTCATTATTTAATCACTGAAGTTAATTTGAAAGTGGAGGTATAGTACATATTGCATAGAACCATATCATGTTATAATCACTATATATAGTTTTCCTTGGTAACTGGAATGTGCTTTTATCAAGATGATGACTATCGAAATTTAATAATACTTTCTCTTGCTTAATCCCATCAGCAAGACAGATAATTGCTTTAGACTAGATTTCCAAATAATATACTTTTAGTGCGGAGATTTTCAAGGTAGTCATGAATATCTAATAGGTAGGTTTTTACTGTTGAATAAAATAGAGTTTTGATGTTGATGGTGGTTTTTGTAACTTCATTTCAACAGTCATGTCTTTTTGTTCCAAATTACTTCTGGACTAATTTATTTTCTAAGATTCACCAGGGCTTACACAGGCAATATAGAGAGTTGTAACTTATGTGTCATGACCAGGTAGGGTAAAATAGATGCTAGAACCTGCTAGGGTTAATGAGTTGAGCTTACTCCTTAGACAGTGTATGTGCTATGGTCATTGGTACTATGTATCTGGAAGGTTAATTTGATAGAGTGAGTAGTATAGATTGGAGAAAAGA